CACATTTACTCCTCGCAAAAGGTGTTTGCTAGTTGCTACATAGATATTTCAGAGCATAATTTTGATTGTTTAATACTCCAACATCTACTAGATATTCACTGATACTGCTGTTGTAATGCCAGTTTTGAATTGAGAAGAGACAAATGGTTTAGACTTTTAATTGATCTCATACAAATTTTGCTTTTTAAGTGAGTTAATTTAGCCTTTGTTTGAGCCTCATTTTTATGTTAAAATGCATTTTATAACTGTGATTTTTTGGAGAACGCGTGTTTAAAAACTAAGGAAAATTTTTGGGATTACGTGCAAATTATTTTATTGATAGAATGTGTGGTTAAAAATGAGTATGAAAAAAAAATGAGTTATAATTAATGGGGCTCAAATAAGGGCTTATTTTACCATTTTTTGGTTATCTAGTAATATTTTAAGAATTTTTTTAATGAGGTTTTAATTCATAGCCCCTGTTTGATGGGGATTAAAATCAGAATAATGTTATTCATAATGAAGACTATCGATAGTCTTCTTACGTAATATACATGTGTCGCTTTGCTATTTGATACATTATGTAGCATGTATCAAATAACAAAGCGACACATGTATGTTACGCAGGAAGACTATCGGTAGTCTTCACTATAGATAACATTACTTTTAAAATCAAATTTTTAGTAGATTTTGATGAAATGTGTGGTTGAAAATTTATGGACTTAGAAAAATGTATGATTAAAATTAATTTTTGACATTTTAATTTCCACCAAACATTTGCATAATATATAATAACATGGCTTGTTAGTTTGCAACGAATGCCCCTCAATTACGTGTTTCTTTACAATGGAACGATAATTTTTTTTCAAAAGAAATGAAGTAAGAGTGACCACAAATTAAAAAGAAAAAAAATAGTGAAATCATTTCCTGTAGCCAGTCAAATCAACAATTATTTTTTATTTCAAATGCAATTCCTTTATTTTCAACTTTTTGGTCATTTAAAAATAAAAAAAGTCGTAAGCACTTATTTTGAATATCTGAATTAAATATTATACAAATGGAGTGTTGAATCGACACTGAAATGACAAAGTCACACTCTGCATTAAGAAAAGAAAACATTAGTTTGACAAGTTACTTTATAATTAATGTTTGGTATCTACCACAATTTAGTTATATTGTTCTTGTTTGACTTTCAATTTTCTTTTTTAAAATTCATTTATAATCACGTATTTTGTGAAATCTACAAATTTTGTTAATTTTTAATTACAAATTTCATTAAATTTTATCAAACTTCACTAAAAGTTTTTTTTAAGAAAAACTAAGGAACCGTTCTCTTTGTATTTCAGTTTTATGTTTT